GCTTTCTAGAATGCACCTTCCTCTAACATTGAAAACTGTGTCTACCTCATTTGCAAACAAGGTCTCTTTCCTCAAAATTCCTTTCCAGAAAAATTTTGTTGACAGAGCAATCCTTGCTACAGTAACTATTCTTTTGGCAAATATTTATCTTTTGGCATCCAAAAATTTCTCATTGCAGTAAATGAGAATCAAATGTAAACTAACTGTAGGTGTTACCAGTACTCATATAGAGGACAGGGCCTTGTGAGAAGTTTTAGGCAATACTCTGTGAGCAAAAGTGACCTGTAACACTTCTGTCTTACAAAACTGAGAGTAAGTGTGAGTTCTCCATTCTTGCTCTCCCACTGGTGTGGCACAGCTTCTGAAAGCTATGTGTTCAGATGGCTTATGAGAGAGTAGCATCCTAAATCTCTGAGTTGCCACTGGAAGAGAAACCTACTCTTATGAATAGATTTCAGTCTTTAGTGAACCTGTGCTCCTGGGCTGTGACTTTCAACATGATTCTTAGCTTCTTGTCTCCCCTTAGATGAGGAGGAAAATCTAAAGACTGGAGTTATTTTCCTTCTCTCATATTGACTCAGCTCTGGTAAAGTTGTTTCTCTTCAGGGAAGGTGAGGAACAGAAAGTTCTGGGAGTATGTCAAAATGCTTACTCCTCCCCTGGGCTATTTCCAAATGGCTACTTTCCCCTCCCCTAGCTGGAGGCATGTGGGGACTTTTTTCTGATCTTCACATTGAGAGCTTGATGGTACTCGTAAAAGTAAAACCTCAAAATTGTGGGGGCTTTCCTAAGGCTAGGGCCCCAGGAAGTTTTAACTTTTAAGTTAGTCTACTCAGCTTCCAGCAGTTCATCAATTATAGTTTAAGTTTTCCTAACAGAATCTATAGTTTCTTCACCCAGTAAACTTATTCTTTGTATTTGCCTCACTCTCCACTACTCAGGGCTCGATTTGCCCTGTGACCTCAATTTCTGATGGATCTAAGAAGAGTTGTTGGTTCTCAGTTCAGCTTTTTTCTTGTTGTAAGAATAGGAGTGACAACTGTCACACTCTTTCACATATCAAAAAGCAAGCCAAAAGTCCCCACAGTATTGCTTTAAATTACTTCTCATCTTGTATCTTTTTCCCACTTAACTGTGAACTATTTGAGAGCAGGAACCATGGTCTTTTTATCTCAGGACCTAGGATAGGTATGAGGATTCTTCAGAGCGTAACCATGATTTTCGTGTCTGCTCTTTATCACACACACTCTCTCTAGGTTATTTTATGCATTTTTCTAGCTTTTTGTGCCATACTAACAACTCTCAAAACTGTATCTCTGGCCAGTCCATCTCTCTCCTTTAATGTTGGACAATTATAAGCATCTTAATTTAAAAGTTCAAAATGTAAGTTTTAGTTTATACCTCCAAATTGTTCATCTTCTCCCTTCTTGATCATATGTAATAACATCATGACCCAATTAGTTCTTTCAACTAGAAACCCAGGAGTCATCTGTGGTTCTTTTCTCTTATTTTACAGCTTCTAAGTCTACTCCTCTGACAAATCATAACATTTCAATCTTCAAATATATTCTCAATCTACTTCTCTCTATTTTCACTGTAATCAATGTGGTCCAAGTTATCACTGTCACTAGGAGAGTCCTCAAAAAAGCCCTCTCCCATTGCTCTCTCCATTTCTATTCTCATGCTACACATAGAGCAATCAGAATGACTTTTATACATAAAATAAATCATGTCACTCCCATATTTAAATCTCTTCAATATCTTCCCTGTATACTGAGACTCAGATTCAAACTCCTTATCATTCTCCGTATTCTCTGTAAAACCACTGCTCTATCTGAATCCTACCTCTGGAACCTCATCTCCTGCCACACTCCCTTCTCATCTGCTATACTACACCTATGCTGGTCTTCTTTGTGTCCCTTGCTAGTTAAAGAGCTTCACATTTCATGTTCCCTATGCTTACATGTAACATTTTTACACGTTATTTAACATTTTGTTCCTATTAAAAGAACTCACATCTAAAGAGATTATATTAGGTGGTTATCTAATTCTAATAATTCAAATTTTAGATTTTCTATTTAATAATAATTAGAATTATCTAATTCCAATAACTCAAATTTTACATTTTCATAGTATTTCAAAAGTAAATTAATCATAGCAAAACATAAATAAGCTAAAATATAAAATTCAAAGCAAAGTAATTCAATTGATTAGTTTAATTTGCATTAGAAACTTTCTTAATTACCTTTACCATTTTGCTATGTATTGCAGATACAAAATTAGAATTACAGTTGCATTATAAGGCATTTATCATTTTTCCTAGTAGTTCCATTTTTAATTATTCAGAGGCTTGTTTTATACCTCACATAAAACCTGTGTTATATTGTCTTTGCAGAAAACTTTCCCTCATTTTAATGCTGACACAAAAAATAGCAAATGAAAAGAGAAAGTAATATTAAAATTATTGAATTTATATATTAAGCAGTTTCTACAAAGGGCGAATTAACTGGCAACTAAAGCAAATGGCTCATTCAATTTTCTAAGCCTCAAATCTCATGAAAAGTCAAAGTCGGAAACAAGAGTCTACTTATATCTATAATTTCACATTACCAAAATCAAAATTAGTAAATCTTCCTGTTATGCTAAAGAATATGAAATGAACAAACCTCAAAAATACAGACCTCAAGAAGCCTACATCATCGATACATTTTTTTCAACAACCACAAAATGGAATTTATATAAATTGATTAAAACAGAATTACTGTTTAGGAAACATAATATATTTTTAATACTAGCTATCCGACAGAGTATTTTGTTACTCTACTCTGAAAGTATTGCACAAAGTATGAAAAACCAAGTCTTACTTTTTAACATTTAAAATTTAAATTGAATACCTGGAATTCAGCTCACAAAAATAATTTTACGGATGAAAACAGAAGGTAAGCAGATAGGAAGTTATCCCATTCAGATGGTAGTCATATTAAGAAACAAATGAGATGACCCAGAAAGAAGAAGCCTTACAACTCCGAATAGAGAGTAAGTGAATTAAAGGACATTGAGAAGTAACTCTGGTCTGTGGTTCAGAAAGATAAAAGGAAGGTTCCTAGAAAATTACATACAAAAAATCTTCAATGGATAAGAATGTAAGATGAAGAAGGTAAGAAAATCTATTAAGAAAATCTATCGATTCTGAATTTTAAAAACTACATAAACCACACAGCAAGAATAAATGAGTTGTCAAAGAAATCTTAATTGAAATAATGCCAATTAATCAATAATTAATTTTAAAACATAAAAGTGTTAATTTTTTCTGTCATCTTCCTATCCAAAAATCAAAGCAGATTGGATTATATTTCTTATTAAACTAAAGCAGTTTCTTTTTGTGTTTAGGCCAAATAACACTTTATTACAATAATCTAAATCTCATTTTTTAAAAGTTACTGACAAAATATCTGTCACCTGATTTAATGGCCATGGTAATCTAATACATAATATGGCACAATCTTGATTATTTTTAAAAACTCACACACAAGACACATAACTAGAGTCATTTAAATCCAAGGCAAAATTATATCTAATCATGCTTTGTTATTGGTTTCTCCATTTTATTTTATTTTAAGCTTCAGTGCCATAGTGAAAAAACAAAACAATGACGTTATGTGGCATTTTAATATAATGCTTCCTAGTTAGAAAAGAAATTATTAGAATTTTATTCCTTGTGTCATAAAATTCCTGCATCATAAAGGGATTAAATATGAAAAATATATTGTGAAGAAATATTATTGAGTTCCTACTACGTATTAGGTATTCTGCTAAATTCCAGGAATAAAATAGTAGACAAGACAAATACTGGCCCTGACTTCAACTACCTGAAGAACTGCAAAATTTCCAATTTGAGAACTACATATTAACTATTAGGAAGAGCATATTGATAACATCATATTTTACTTCAGTTGAAACTAAAACCCTGACAAAATGTAACATAAAATGCATAAAAAGTAGCATAAAACGGATGAGGAGATTATCCTCATCAATAGCAACAAGACAAAAAAGATGTTTATCTTTTACTTTGCATTAAAGGAACAACATGAATGCTTTTCTGAGTGTTTCATCGTACTCGTCATTCTCATTCTCATTCTCTCCTGGAGTCCATGTCACTTGTCAACTTGTCCATTCCTACAACCAAACCAACTTCTCTTAAGTCATAATTCAAAAGGAAGCACAGAGGCTAAGTGGTGGGAGCACATCTGAATATGATGGCAACTGTCAGGAGAATGGAAGTTAAATATGTACAGTCTCTCTCACACTCTCAGCTACCTCAACTTTACAACATAAATAATATTGCTTCCACAAAATTAAATGATACAGATGTGAACAACTTTTGAAACAGTGTTTTTTAATCTAATAACAACAAAAAATGAAATCAATACTTCTTTAGTGTTTCAGGTCAGTGTAAGAATATATTGCTGCATTTTACTAATTATGTTTTGTAACCTAATGAAATGTTTAGTAAAAACAGGATTCAGCGGTCAAATAAATGTATGAAACAGTGTGTGTTCTAATACCCTTGGAGCATATTTGGGTTCTCAAAATTATTATAATAAAGAAACTTGCTTAACCTTTTTTAAAACAACTTTTCCAAAACTATTTGACCACAGACTGAATTTGGAGGGTAAAATCTTGTAATGTCTTCTAGAACTATTGTTGAAAGAAACACAATCTAGTTATAGATTGCACTGTTGGAAAAAGATATTTTACTGAATAAGTATAGCTTACATTATTTATACTAAAATATAGTGGGAGGTGGTTCTTTTTTACTATCCTGTTAATTATCCTTGCCTTCTTTTTAGATTTCCATTAAGGGTAATAGTATCAAACCCTAACCTAACAATTTTCCTTTCTGAGGGCATACTATTCCAAGGACAGTATTTTAATACATACTTTTCAGTATGTTATACTATCAGAGATAATATTTAGTCTATATAGATCAGCTTACTTACGTCTGGGGCTCCTTTTCATTTTGTTGTTTTTGCTGGGGCTGAAGAACGTTATTTACCAGTTCAGTGATTCCACTAAAGGGAAACCACCTGTTTAAATAAGCAAATAATGTGACTGAATAACCAAATAAATAACAATGTAGGTTAACGTTTTCTTATCCATAATAATAAAAATACACAGGCACAAAAGCTACAGCCAATGGTAATGTGAGCTCCAATTATCATCAAGGCAGTCAAAATGTTGGGAAATTAAATTTGAACACTTAACTAGTCCACAAGCAGGCAGCAAAAAACTACATCCAGTCACTATGTGGGTGAAGTAAGAAGCTGCAGGCAGCTGTCTTACAAGCCAGAGAGTCAGAAAGCAGAAGACACACTAGCTGCAGCCTATCCAGTATTAGTATAAGCTAATACCAGAAAGCAGAATGTGACAAAAGTACAGAAGTCAAGCCTACTACACTCTTAACACATTTACTTACTGTGTCAGTTGTGGTTTGTGTTCTTCTTTGACCCTAAAAAGATAAGTTTGCACAACTGAGTGCACTGTACTATGAAGAGATTTCTATTTACAAATTTGTGTTCATATAAAATGGACACCAAAAATAAGAATTTTATATAGAAAGATTTAGCGCCTTGCCATATAGTGAAATTATACATTTCAATCAAATTTACACACAAAAAAAGAGAAATTGAATCATTTGTTCTTAACAGAAGACTAATATTAAACTCCACTACTGTTTTAAAGCAATGATTTGGGCCTGAAGATTTCTAAATATTTTTATCGATATTGAAGATTTTAAAATAATTATTTTAACATACTATATTAAACACAATCACATTTAGTTAAGTGCATATAAATAGATTTCCTTTCTAAAAATTTTTTTTAGTATTGAAGTAAAGACACAAATATTTTAAATAAAACATAAGGTTTTATGAATGTATTTTTAAAAGCCTTACAAATGAATTTCTTTATGCCTAAAGGAGCAGATAACGGAATGGTGGGGTGGGGGAGAAAAGGTATCCAATCTCTCTTAAAATAGCTATTAAAATAATGATGTATATTAAATTAGAAATATTCATAAGTTAATTATGCAAACAACTCTTCCAGACTGCAAATAAACTTAAATAAATACTATATAAATAACTATAATAATCAAGTCAGTACTTCACTTTTAGTTCTGCTGAGTTCAGTAAAGTCTTGTCTAAAATAGCATACAGAAAAAACTGCTTTCCAAATATCTGAGTTGAGAAGATATTTTTATATTACAAAAATCTAAAAATTCATGGTCAGAAACTGATTTAGAAGTAGACAGTTGTAGAAAGCTAAGACAGCCAATTGAAAGCAGCTGCAGTCCAAAGCACTCATCAAGAGGAATAAAAGGAGCAAGTGAATTCAGCACCTTCAACTGAAATATCTGGGTTCTTACACTGAAACTGACTAAGCAAACAACTTGACCCTCAGAGAACAAAGAGAAGCAGAGTAGGGCGACAGCCCACCTGGGAGCAGCAGGGAGCCAAGAGAATCCCCACCCCCAGCCAAGAGAAGCAGTCAATGATTGTGTGACCCTGCTCAGGAAACCATGCTTCTCCCACAGATCTTTGTAACCCATGGATCAGGAGATCCCTTGTGATCCCACATCACCAGGGCCTTGGGTCCAATACACTGAGTTATGTGAAGTTTAAGCAGAGCAACTGCTTAGACACACACAGAGACCCAGGAGTTTTGCATACCCGGGCCCTGGAATCTGCAGCAAGGCAAGAGATCCATCCGTAAATGTCCCTAGGAAAGAGGCTGACTCCAGGGAGCAAAGTGGCTTCATTCTGTGGGTACAACTTCCATGGCACCTTACAAGTTGGGACCCACCTGCTTGGATCCGGCAGCAGCAGGCTAGAGTCTGCCTGAGTCAGGACTGAGTTCCCAGGGGGATTGGTGACCACCATCTCTGCAGTTCTGTAGACTCGGTCATTTCAGCCTGCCAGCTTTGAAGAATACAAGCAGTGTGGATGAAGAACACAAGCAGTGTGGATGTGTTCCTCAGCACAGCATAGCTACCTTAACACATCATGGCCAGACTGCTTCTTAAGCAGAACCTGATTCCTTCCTCCTCACTTGGCAAGACCTTCCTGTGGGGACTTCAGCCACTCCTGCAAGGATTCTCCAGACAGACCATTGATCTCTCCCAGGGATGAAGCTCCCAGGGGTTATCTACCTCTGCAGTTCAGTAGACTCAGCTGTTCCAGCCTGCCAACTTTGGAGAATCCAAACAGTCCAGACGAAGAAGAGACCTCTGAACGTAGCACACCTGCTCTACCAAAAGGCCACCTGACTGCTTCTTTGGGCAGATCCCTGATCCTGTTCCTCGTGACTGGGAGAGACCTCCCAACAGGAGTCTCAGCCGCCTCCTATAGGCATATTTGGGCCAGCAAAAGGTCAGTGCCACACTGAAACAAAGCTTCCAGAAAAAGGGGAAGGCTGCCATCTTTGCTGGTTCACAGCCTTCACTGGTGATAACTCTGGGTAGGAAAAAAATGAAAGCAACTACAGTCTGAAGGGGACCCCTAGCAAACCACAGCAGCCCTATGAAACAGTGCCATCACTGTTAAAAGAAAAACAAATAGGAAACAACAGCAACGTCAACAAAAAAGACCCCATGAAAACCCCAATCAAAGGTCACCAACCCCAAAGACCAAAGGTAGGTAAGCCCATAAAGGTAAGAAAGAATCGACACAAAAAGGCTAAAAACTCAAAAGCCAGAATGACTCTTTTCCTTCAAATGACCACAGCATCTCTCCAGCAAAAGCACAAACTGGCTGAGGCTGAGATGGCTGAAGTAACAGAAGTAGGCTTCAGAAGGTGGACAATAAGAAACTTTGCTGAGCTAAAGGAGCATGTTTTAACCCAATACAAAGAAGCTAAGTATCATGATAAAACAATACAGAAGCTGATAGCCAGAACAGCCAGTTTAGAGAGAAACATAACCAACCTGATGGATCTGAAAAACACAACATGAAAACTTCACAATGCAATCACAAATATCAATAGCAGAATAGACCAAGCAGAGAAAAGAATCTCAGAGCTTAAAGACTATCTTTCTGAAATAAGACAGGCATACAAGAACTGAAAAAAATAAAAGAATAAAAAGGAATGAACAAAACCTCCAAAAAATATTATTTAAGAAGACCAAACCTAAGACTGATTAGGGTACCTGAAAGAGATGGGGAGAATGGAACAAAGTTGTGAAAATGCTTAAATATATCATCCAGGAGAATCCCCCAAAAGAGAAAGGTAGCCCAACATTCAAATTCAGGAAATGCAGAGAACCCCAATAAGACGCTCCATGAAAAGATCAACCCCAAGATACATAATAATCAGATTCTGCAATATGTAATGAAAGTAAAAATGTTAAGGGCAGCCTGATAGAAAGGCCAGGTCACCTACAAAAAGTAGCCCATCAGTTGCATATCTGGGTAAACTAAATTTCATAAATGAAGGAGAAAAAGGATCCTTTTCAGACAATCAAATGCTTAGGGAATTTGCCAGCACCATGCCTGATGTGCAAGAGCTCCTGAACAAAGCATTTAATATGGAAAGGAAAAACAATTACTAGCCACCACAAAAAGAAACTGGAAGTACACAGATCAGTGACATTATGAAGCAACCACATAAACAAGTATGGAAAATAACCAGCTAGCATCATGATGACAGAATCAAATTCACAAATAACAATACTAACCTTAAATGTAAATGAGCTAAATGCCCCAATTAAAAGATACAAAATGCCAAGCTGGATAAAAAGTCAAGACCCATTGGTATGCTCTCTTCAAGACACCCATCTCACATGCAAAGACACACATAGACTCAAAATAAAAGAATGGAGGAAAATTTACCAAACAAATTTAAAACAGAAAACACAGTGGTTGCAATTCCAGTTTCTGACAAAACAGACTTTAAACCAACAAAGATCAAAAAAGACAAAGAAGGGTATTATGTAATGGTAAAGTGTTCAATTCAACAAGAAGAGCTAACTGTCCTAAATATATGTGCACCCAACACAGGAGAACTCAGATTTGTAAAGCAAGTTCTTAGAAACATACAAAAAGACTTAAGATTCCCAAACAATAATAGTAGGAGACTTCAACACCCCACTGTCAATATGAGACAGATCATCAAGACAGATAATTAACAAAAATATTCAAGACCTGAACTCAAGAGGACCTGACAGATGCCTACAGAGCTCTCCACCAACAGAGTAGAATATACATTCTTCTCATTGCCACATGGCACTTACTCTAAAATTTATCGCATAATCTGAAGTAAAACACTCATCAGCAAATATAAAAGAACTGAAATCATAACAAACATTTTCTCAGACCACAGTGCAATCAAAATAGAACTCAAGATTAAGAAAATCACTCAAGAACACACAACTGCATTGACGTTGAAAAACCGGCTCCTGAATGACTCCTGTGAAAATAATAAAATTAAAACAAAAATAAGAAAGTTATTTGAAACTAATGAGAGAAAAGAGACAATGTAACAGAAACTTTAGGATGCAGCTGAAGCATTGTTAAGAGAGAAATTTATAGCATTAAAATGTCCACATCAAAAAGCTAGAAAGATCTCAAGTTATCTAAGCTTCACAGCTAGCAGAAGACAAGAAATAACCAAGATCAGAACTAAAGTGAAGGTGATACAAAGATGAAAAACCCTTCAAAAAAATCAATGAAACCAGGAGCTGGTTTTTAAAAAATAATAATAAAATAGACTGCTAGATAGGCTAACAAAAAAGAAAAGAGAAGAATCATGATTATGATTATAAACATAATCAGAAATGATAAGAGGTATATCACCACTGACCCCACAGAAATATAAACAACCATCAGAGAACACTACAAACATCTCTATGCACATAAACTAGAAAATCTATAAGAAATGAATAAATGCTGGGTGCAGTAGCTCACGCTTGTAATCCCAGCACTTTGGAAGGCTGAGGTGGGTGGATCATGAGGTCAGGTGTTTGAGACCAGCCTGTCCAGTATGGTGAAACCCCATTTCTACTTAAAAAAAAAATACAAAAATTAGCCGTGCGTGGTGGCGCAGGCTGTAGTCTCAACTACTCAGGAGGCTGAGAAGAGGAGAATTGCTTGAACCTGGGAGGCAGAGGTTGCAGTGAGCTGAGATCGTGCCACTGCACTCCAGCCTGGGCAACAGAGTGAGATTCTGTCTCAATAAATAAATAAATAAATAAATAAATGCCTGGACACATACACCCATACACCTGGACACATACATGAATAAATGTCTGCACACATACACCCACCCAAGACTGAATCGGGAATAAATTGAGTCTATTAATACATCAATAATAAATTCTGAAATTGAGGCAGTAATAAATAGCCTACCAACCAAAAATAAAAAGCCCAGGACAAGATAGAATCACAATTGAATTCTACCAGAGGTACAAATAAAAGCTGGTACTATTCTACTGAAACTATTCCAAAAAATTTAAAA